TCAGTAGGGTATTGTAAACTCCTCTTGTAAAAGTTCAAATAAACTGATACAATTAATAGGAAGCGCAATTCTTTCCAATATTATATTTAAAAGACTAGTAATGCAATTAAAATTTAAATCTAAATCTAATCTTAAAATACCTCTAGTTCCAGTTGTTGTTTGATAGTGATGAAAAGTCTCTTTGCATTTTAGGACCCTCTCCCCGCAAAATATTTCTTTTATAAATGACCAATGGAGAAATAAATATTTCCATAAATCATCTTTGGATTAAAAACCAAGCATAAAAAGGAGGCTTGAAGTTGTTTAATATTACAGATGTTTTGGAGTTCTATTCAGTAGTTGGCAAATCACACAAGGCTGCTCTGAATTCTTTATAATCTAGACACAAGGATCATTGCACTCTAAAAGAACCTCTGGGCTCTTATTCAAGAATATGTTGGCTTCTATTTACCTCTTTCCTCATTTGTATCTATCAAATGGCTAAATGTATAAATAAAGTCCGGGTGTTCTTATTAGCTAAGGCAGTATTTCATGCAGATTAATGCCGCAGATTTAGTAAAATGTATTTCTCTTTAAAGTTAGAGTATGTTTTGAATTAATTTCCTTGATGTGTATGAATCAGGTAGACCCTATTCTATGCCTGTTGTTTCACAATGCTCATAAGTATCACATCTGAGCATTGTCTATATGGGGCGTTAAAATCCCGATTCAGCAAGCCAATCTATTCAGCGAAGCACTTAATTTTAAAAAGGCGATTAATCCCATCAATTTTAACGGGACTCCTCACAAGCTTGAAATTGGAATGGAAAGATGAATCAGGGCCTGCCTGACAATGCCAGCTCTTTATTGAGCACAATTATTTAAATCTCAGCTCATGTGTCGAGGATGTATCTTTCAGCGTTCAATAAAATCAGATTTACTCCGACTGAACAAAAATCTTTAACCTTCCTTCGCCATGAAAGTTGGCTAATATTTCTCTGGATTCTGTAGACAATGAACAAGAAAATGAAGTGCATTGTCAATCGGGATTAAAATACAATACGAAATCAATCCGCTGACAATTTTGATAGAATAATCTGTGAGTGAATTTTGTTAAATAAATACACTGGATGTTTTCCGGAATATGTTAACCAAATAGCTGCTCCAGCTTCAACATCTCACACAAGATAGATCCGCACTTGGCTAATTTTGTAAACGTTAAAGGGCTTTGCCAGAACTCTCCTGTCTTTTGAGTGGCTGAGGTTTTTCTGGTGTAATGTAAACACTACCAAGGAAAATCCCCATGTTGGTGCTTCAGGCTGTGAGGAAATCAGCAGATGGAGAGAAAAATGTAGATTAGATTAGATACGATACATTCCAATTTGGTCGACTGCAGTGTTCGTGGTCAAGATTTCATTCCTGTGCTACACAGAACCTCGCTTTAATGTGATGTAATTATGGACATGTTAGTGTTTAGTCCACCTTTAATCCAATTACCACAAACTCTCCCAGCAAGTGCGAACTCTATTGCTCTGCTAACAGGGATGAGTTTACCTGTGATTGTGTAGATCAGTGGGTCTCGACTTCCTCCTCCTGTGCCCCCCATATTAGAAAAGAAGGTATAAAGACCTATCTAAAGAAAGGGTTGGTGACCACGCCATCCTGAAATCTGTTTGTGAACCGTAGCTTGAAAACCTATGACGTAGATCATATTTTCACACCCAGTCGGTAGAGCTGTATGACTCGGGTTAAACCACCGTCCAAGGAAGGAAGCTAGAGCCTCGATACTATGGGGAGGTGTAGACAGAAACTAAGGCAGAACCAAGCATGTCAATGGGTGCAAAGGGGATGGAAGAAGCAGAGCGAGGAAATAGAGCATGGTCATTGAAAATTCAGATAATTAATCACGGTGCTAATTGAGCTGGTGGCTGACTGAGATACATGCCCGGCAGCATTTTCAACCAGCTGATGTCCGTTTCAGTGACTCAACGGTAGGGTTCCCAAAAGGGTGACCCGCAAAGGGTTTTGGTTTTTTCCCTTCCTAATTGGGGTCGTGCCCTTTCTGCTTGGTTAGGATGTAAGTGGAAGCCCGGAAAGGGATTTTTCAGAATAAATAAATACAATTCTGTTTTTTAAACTTCAGAAATATCGAGATGTGAACTCTAGTCTTCTCTCGTTTTGCTGGAGCCTCCTGGGTGCTTCCGATATAGGTACTGTGAAAGTTAACCCGTGAATTAAAACGCTGGAGAAGTTGGATCTTTAACGAAGGCCTCCTTTCTCCAGACTGCTCGGTAACCACTGATGATACCCAAAGCAAAGCAAACCGAACCTTAGGGCGCTTTCAACAGTTTGATTAAAAGTCCCTTCTGCAGGGGCAGAGCTTTCCGGCTTTTAACCCTTGTGGCATCACTAGCCCTGGAGGTTCCTGGAGTCTTGCAGCCTAGAGCAGCTCGGAGTGCCGACAGTAGCAAACGCTAACATTAAAATGGGGCTAATTTGGTTTTATTTCATTGTGTCCCCCCCTCCCCCGCCGCTTTGCAAGTCACTTAAATTTGAAAGAATTATTGGGTGAAGATTAGGAATCCATTTCACTGCCATTCCCCGGCTCCTGTTGATAGTTAAATCGGTCTGTTTCTGAAGCATTCTCTGTCTAAAAAACGTGGAAAAGAAAACGTATATTTACCGTCCAGAAATACAGAAGCAAAGGCAAGCTCAAAACTGCAATATTTCCTAGTATGGCATTCTTGTTATGAAGGTGTGTGTGTGAGAGAGAGAGAGAGAATATTGCCGGAATGGAATCACTTCCAGAAATAGAAAGAACAAAAATATATCGAATAGGAACATTTGAAGCACCACAAACGCCGTTGGTATTTCGGTCTTAATGGTCAATGACACGGTGGGTCCAGTAGGGGGCACTAGAACCATGGTCTATTCAATCTGTTAGGCAAATTCAGTTTTTTTGTCTTTGAGGTCCTGTCATTCTCTGTATAAACAAGTTACGTTCAAGTGTTTAGGATATAAATCACGACCAGGCAGGCTTGCCTCGGAAAGAATGTAAACACAGCACTGTGGTCGGAGCAAACTCTGAAGCTGACTTTATAATTTATTGCAGGCCCCTGAGAAGCTCAGGGGGAAAAAGGGCATGTTTGAGTATAAATATAAAAATGGAGATTTAAAAAAAAAATCATTCTGATCAAATTCACTCCCTACTTAGGAGTTTAAAGGCGCCAGGGGGCATGGATGCTGCAGTTTAAACAGGAGTTTGTTTCCTTCCTTTTAATATGGACTGGAGCTGCACTGAATTGTATCATGCCTGAGGATATGATTGCATGCGATCAGGGGGCAAACTTGCGGTCTAAGGGAGAACAGATCTTTTAGCACTGAATTGGCCAAGCCGGTGCCACAGTTTCTTTCCCGTAAGAAAGTGTGATGTGAGGGAAGACATACATCAGCTCGATTCTATCTAACCTACCGAGGAAGCAGACCAACAACATCCTTCATATTTAATTCGCCACATGGGCTACGGAATAGCATCCTGGGGGGCGGGAGTGAATTTCTGAGGCAACCATCCTTGCACGTACAGATTCATTTTGCTTTCATTGACGGATGCACATGAAAACTTGACAAGCTTGAGGTGGTCCCTTAAGAAATCCAGCCAATACAGTAAGGAGAAGTGGCTTCAAGAGACATTAGTGCATCTGATCCCCCTGTGTGGAAGTCTCTTTTAAGGCTCCATACAGGGGTCCCACAGTGTGATCAAAGGGTTGTAGTTTATAAACGTGACTTCACTGCTTTACGTAAGCAGAAAGGTGTATCGCTCCTGAACTCCAATGATTTAAGGGATGAACTGACTTTATGAGCTGAGATTGAGTAAATGTTCAGCTCCATGTAATTTTAGATCTATCCCTGGGGTTCCTTGCGGCTGCCCCACTGACACTCAGACATGTGTTTTCAGTATCTTGACATCAAAACTGCTACATGACTACCTGAACGAGTAATTAAGAAGCCACGATTTTACTTAACGAACAGTAGGATGCTTTTCTGAGTTACAAAAAGTCTGCCCCACAATCAGAAGTGACAAGGCACTATTTATCTATAGCTTTATCCTGCATTCCTAGCGCACCCCAAACTCCTGTTGAGTTCATTGTTTCGATAAGGACAAGGACAGCAGAATTTGGGCCAACTCCGACCCAAAGCATTAATACAGGGAAAGAGCAAAAACAGGAACAATTCTGAAGAAGAAATCACAATCATGGTCAATTGGATGCTCTAAACATTGTTCAGTGCAATGGAGGCGTTAGATATAATTGAAAGACGGTTTGGATTTCTAACATTTTGATTATTTGTTTTTATGTTAACGCTTTCCCCCATACTATTACAAATCCTCCATAAGTAGCCGGGGAAAACGAGAGAGACAGATAGACAGACACTCCAAACCTAAGGCTAGCTCAGGACACAGATCCCTCTGCAGGTCAATTACTCTCACCCTCCCTTCAATAGTACCTGCAGGGTCTAGGGTGTCTTATTATACTTACTACACTTGGGTTGAAAGGGACAATTACAAGAAGGGTTAGAGTGAAACTAAATGCCTGGCCAGTGCATGTTCGTTTATACACATTTTATTGAAAAAGAATTTGTACATCAAAATATTTTTGGCAAACTGTAAAAAGTATACATAAGTGCAAATATATTCTCCTTTTAAAGCAGTTAAGTGTGCGAGTATACACAAGATGTATTTAAAATATTTCTTTTTAAAAATACTGTGGTAGAAAACAACTTTGTAAAAATAAAAACAAAACATTGTATTGTTGCAATACTGGAAAAAATGAACTTTCTTAAACTCTATACACGAAACGTCTAAACAATATACTTTTAATAATATTGATTGGTGCTGGCGTCCATAGAAAGTGTTTCGAAAAAAAGTAAACTTTAATTAACGCTCGAACCACTTAGAAAGGGAATTTGTCGCTGGTGTTGGGTTGAGGCAGATTTTTCCCAGTCAAAGGAAACTTGTTTCTACTAAAAAAAAAAAAAAAAAAAAAGATAGAACTGAGCACTTTTGCAGACCCTAATTTTTAGGACAATGGAGATCACAGAAATGCATTTTATTATTAACTTGGATAGACTTCCTATAAAAGATACCCTTCCCCCGCCCTCCCAAGCACATACACACCCACAAAAGAAAATCTTTCAAAAAAGCTTTGGAGCATTACATCAACTTTTTCTGTCTTTCAAGGTGTGGCAGGGGACAAAATGGTAAACAGTGCTGCCTTATGTAATTTTGCTAAGTGACTTGTGTACTATTCAATGCTATCAGGAGTGCACATTACATTTTATCTGCGTGAGTCCGTCTATACCTCAAATCTGTTAAACAGCCACCTGACTGTCTTTATTTGATAGTGCTAAGTTCACATCACACAGGGTTTGATATCTTGACAGACGCTTTGATGGTGATGGTGATGATAGTAAGATCCACTAGCAGAAGGGTGAAAAGAAGAAATGCCATTAAAATTGAGAACAAAATCTTTCCTGTCACACACTGGGGAAGAGTGATGCTGGTAGCGAGGCAATCCCACTGCAAGAGAAGAAAATAACAAGAGCTTCTCAGAAATTAGCTCGACTCTGTCTGAAAGAGTGGTTCTCTGTCTGACATACATCGTAGTTATGGCGAATATAAATTCAGATATGTGGGGAAATTAAACGTTACAGATGTGATGTAGCCTTCTGGAGCATTTAAGAAGGCCTCCACGAAATGTTAATTTCCTTGAAGACACTTTCAAAAGACAGTCTGAAGGCTATTGAAATTTACAAGATAAGTAGTCTTGTCCCATTTCTCAAAAAAGAAAAAAGAAAAGTGTAAAATTATTGTGCACACATACATACTTAAATAGTTTGTGTGTGTGTGTGTATGTGTGTAATATTATAAACACAAAGAATATGCTTGTCAGTGTGGGTGTAGAGATCTAGATTATATAGATAATATGGATTATATAGATACATACAATCTATACCCATATACCCACAACACGCACAACCTCATATACATGTTATGTGTATACGGTGTTTGTGTGTGTGTATGTGTATGCAGGTATGTTTGCTGGAGTTGTGCACACACACATCTCTGTACCCCCTCGTGTGTGTGTGTGTGTGTGCGGGCAACTATGCGAACACACCTGCACTTTTTTTTTCTGAATTCAGTGCAGATAATGATCCTGATCCTGCCCTATCAAAATGAATGGGAGGTTTGTTATTGACTTCAGTGGGCAGAGGATCAATGAGAATTAATTTTATTAATTATAGAATGTGAGTGTGTGTGTGTACTGTATCTGGCTATAGTTAGACATGTGTATTCATATACTTAAGATACAGAGGAATGATGCCCTACACTTAAACCAAAAAGTACAATACCTCCCCCATACAGTATCACAGAGTATATAAATCAGGTATCAGCCTCACTCAGATATTTCAAACCCCACAGCCACACGCCAGTGTGCCCGGTTCCGGATGTGCTGTATTCTTTTGGGAGCAATTCTATACAACTGTGGGGCTGATCCTGAGGTCCTTTATTCAGACTTTATTCTCCCGGTGGGAGCTTTGCTTGAGAAAGGACTGCAGGATCTAACCCAGGTGTTCCCCCCCACCCTTCCCAGAGCAATCTGTTCATATCTGAAAGGGGATGTTCAGTGGGTTCAGATTTTTCCTCTGGCCTATTGGACCTTTTCAAATCTTATTGGAAAAGAAGCTTATTCGAGGTTCTTCAGTAGCTTATCAGAGTCCCGCAGAGACTGGAGCAAATCTCCGACAGCACAGAACATCAGCGTCTGCATTTGTAATCTGGATAAAACTTTGTAGATTCCAAGGCAAATAGGTCTCCAGCTTCTGTGCCCGGAGGCTAGGCAGCCCTCTTGTACAGTGAGGCACGTACAGTATTCATTGCAGCATGCCTATCTCTTCCTGAGCTGCTGTCATTGTCCCTTTCCTCACCCCACAGTGCTCACTGTGGAAAGGTGATTATTTCGCTGGATTTCCTTGGTCTTTCTAATAACCCTGCTGGTATGCTCACAATAAACCATTGCACTTTTTATTACAACCCTGATTCAATCAGTGAGCATGGTTTAATAGTGTGCGAAAAAATGTCTCCCTCAAGCCTCCAGGAGAACAAGTCTCTGTTTCCAATCTTTTCTTTTCTTATTCTTGGGTCAGATGCAAGTCCAAGGCTTAAACTCTACACCATCACTAACTTAAAAGGCTAGTGATTTGATATAGGTTTATTGACCGATAAAAACACATTTTGGAACCAAATCTGCGTCGCATTAAACTAATAAAAAAGCAGCTACAGAAACATTATGTGCACTTGTTATTGCTTGTACGTTGTAGATTAATGAGAAATAATTGTTCTTATTCATTTACTATTAAGAATTCTTACAAACCCAGGAACTAATTTTTACCATATAGTGCCGCATATACATAAGTGTATATATTCACAAACAAAACCTTTTTAGCTACCTAGGGTATGATGATCTGAGCTGCTTTCACTAAAGGCCTGGGCCCAAATCATGGCATTAGTTTTAAACAGAACACATTTATTGAAATCAATTGGAAATTCCGTTCAAAAACTGACTGCACGATTTGCCCTCTGATCGAGCACATCTGAAATAAATATTAATTTGTCCCTTTGGCACAAATGATCTTAGCTAGCTAGCTAGCTAGCTGGCTGGATCTATATTTATAGCAGCGAGCTAGCTATGGGATCTGTACTTCTCTTACGTTTTAAAAGGATGAAACTGGATTTAAATAATCACATTATTGGAAATATTTGAGTTTTAACGGTAGAACAAAATCCCTTGAAAACAAAACAAACAAAAAAACAACCTGTACTTGGATTGTCTCCACGTCCCTTTCAAAATTAAAATGTTGCACTCTGATAACAAAGGTCACTTCTAAGATCCTGTTGATTCCATGCCCACTGAAGTTGCTTACTGCATTTTTGGGATACATTTTTTATTTGTAAACCTCAAAGTATTTCTAAAAGCTGTCCAAAGGTTATGAAAGTGTTCCTCGAGGGGTTGGCGAGAATATGCAATTGCGAACGCGCCTGTCTGTTCAGAAAAAGGATAAGGAAGATTATTGTTCTGATCATAAAACCAAAGTGAAGAATTAATCTAATCTGTAGAACGGGATTTACAATTAAAGGAGGCTCTAATCTGGCATTTCGAAAGTGCAGATTCCGCCTGGGCAGATGGAAACTCTTTGTGGAGGTAGGGTTCGCTTACTGTTTTCTGGACCAAGGTCCATTTCCCAGGAGCTGCCGTAAAGCACTGAATTCCTGTAGCTGCTGCTGCTTTACAGATCAGCCTCTGAGATTATTTTCAAGGTTTTAACGCTGCGGTTCTGTTTGGTCAGCTTCACTGCTGAGATAAATTTAGCCAATGCAAACTTTAAACCTTCCTTTCCTAAAGGACATCCAGAATCGTTTGCACTGTTAAGAAGTTACTTCTCTGCGAGCGAAGCAGCCAACAAAGGTTAAACATTGCTTTCCAAAATGAAGGCTGGGTATTTTAGATCGAAAGGTACAGTGCAATTCTTTGAGATGAACAGAGGAATGATTGACAGCCCTTCAAGTAGCGGGGGGTAGGAGGGGGAACCCAATGAAGAGGGTCTTCTGTATTTGTTACTTGTTGAAATTCCCATAAAATTGAACAAGACCCTGCTCTCATATGGGTTAAGTCAGGCTAAAATCCTCTTCGGTGTGGTCCAGCCCAGACTGTCTTTGTTTGGTTAACCTCCAAGACCCACATTTAAAAAGGCTATTTGGAAAATTCCCCCCTAACAACTTAACATCTTTTACCCATTGTTGTGCCTTGTTTTCTTCGCTAATGTCCCCTTTGCAGTTTTTCTAAGAATACATTTTCTATAATCACTAGAGCAGGCAGGGAGGGGAGAAATCCAGGCACATTTCCCCCTCCGGTTGTAGAAATAGATTAGATCTGCTTTAATCTCTTCTGCATTTTTAAAGATTATCGGGTTTTCCGCCCCCCCCCCCTCCGCCGCAGCCTGCAAGACTTTGGAGGTAATATTAAACACCTTTTTCTGTCACTCTTGCTATAAATCTCCTTGGGTTTTTGTATTTAATGTCGGATTTGTAATTCTTTATGGTTTTCCTAGTATTTCTGTCTAAGAAATCAAACAAACATACCAGACGGGTTGAAACTGACAATACCATAAAGATAAGGATCTGGGTTTTAACCTCTAAACTAGAAATAACAACACTAAGGGACATGTTCATATTGAGATCCAAACCCACAGCAAGGCAGTAGTGGATGGCAATTTTTGTTCTCCCCATACTTAGCCAGAAACAGAGCAAATGTGTTCACGAACAATAGCTCTATTTGTCCTTCTCGGACCAGGTTTTGTTTTCTCTTGTCAAGCTCTGTTTTCAGAGAAAACACAACGCAGCCCCAGCCTCGCCCTTGTTCCTGGGCTCTTATCTGACAGCTTCAGTAAACCAGAGTCAACCACCAGATTGCCCAAACTAGGCAGCGATTGGAGAGCCTCCTCTAATCCTAGCAAGAGCCCAGCCCCAGCCGTAAAGGAATGAAAGTGGAAGGGGTATTACCTGACAGGTCTTCCCTGGCGTTTTGGTGCAGATAGCTTTGCTCCAAAGAGTAGCTGGGCATGCTGGAGTGGATGCCCGTGGAGGCTGGGTTACTGGGTGGAAGGGCCTGCTGCTTTATATACGGAGATGCCCCCGATGCTGTCCAGTGAGCTGACGGGCTCGTGTAGGGGGAATGGCATTCAATTGCACTAGCCAGGGCGGGTGAAGATGGCACGGGGCTGCTGCTGCTGTCGGGACCGTAGTCCCCGTTGGAAGTCACCGGGCAGCTGGCCATGTAGGTAGAGCCCGGGTTGGGGGACATGTGAGGGGCGTGATGCCCCCCGCTCAGCGCGTCGTAGCCGCCGGCCATGGAGTTAGCCATCATGTCTAGGTTGTAGCCGTTGGCGTGGCAGGCCAGGGAGGCGGAGGGCGCCTGGAAGTCAAAGCCCTGGGGCAGGATGGAGGCGCTGAAGCCGATGCTGTTCATCATGCGGTACATGGGCTTGAGCGCCTGGCACTTTCTGCGGAAGCCCCGGGGCCGGCGGCGGAAGGAGCCTTCCTCGAACATGAACTCGCTGGCCGGGTCGATGGTCCAGTAGTGGCCTTTGCCGGGGCGGCCCAGCCCCTTGGGCAGCTTGATGAAGCACTCGTTGAGCGAGAGGTTGTGGCGCACCGAGTTCTTCCAGCCCTGGTAGGAGCCGCGGAAGAAGGGGAAGCGGCTCTGCAGGAACTGGTAGATCTCGCTCAGGGTCAGCCGCTTGGTGGGCGAGCTCTGGATGGCCATCACGATGAGGGCGATGTAGGAGTAAGGGGGCTTCTCGGGCCGCCGCAGCCCCGAGCTCGCCTTCTTGTTCTTGCTGGAGGAGGAGGAGGAGGAGGAGGAGGAGGAGGTCTCCAGGGCGGAGGGGGGCGGCTGGCTCATCAAGGCGGACTGGAGAGCTCCGGGAGCCGGGCTGCAGGAGCGGAGAGGGGCCGGGGGCTCCAGCTGCTGCTGGCCGCTCTCGGTGGTCATCTGGCGGAGGGAGGGAATGGAGGGGTGGGGTGAGGCTGGAGCGGGGTGCGGCGGGCGGGTGCCCGGGTGGGCTTGCGGGGAGGGGGCGAGCTGCTGCTCCCGGGGGCACCTCCTAGTGCTGCTGCTGGAGGCGGCGGCGGCGGACTGCAGGCAGCGCCCTGTGCATCACTCCCCCAGCAGCGCCCGCCAGGCCCCCTTGCGCAATGGCTCCCCTCCTTTGCGCCGCGGCGAGCGAGGCACTTGGCAGGGCGGATTAGGCTGCGCTCCGGCTCGCCCCCTGCCCCCTCACTGCACTGCCTTGGGGAGGGCTCGTCTCGGGGCTTCTGACATTCCAGCGTGGCCCCCCCACCTGGCGGCCATCCCTCGCTGCCTGAGCCTTTGAGAGGAGGAAGCAGGAGAGCCCCTCGAGTCTGGCGTCGAGGCTGAGCAGCCAAACAACACCCGGCCACCTATCAGTTCCTTAAATCTTGCTCTTGTTCTTCAGACCCCCCTGAATCCCTCCGAGAGCTCAGCCCAGCAGCAGCGAGCGAGCGAGCGAGCGAGAGAGAGAGAGAGAGAGACCACCCCCTTTCCAGCTGGCCCCTGTCCACTCGTCATCTGGGCAGGAGGCGCTGCCGTACCAGATCGGTCTCGCTGCCCTCCCTAACACACGCAATTACACCATTCATCAACCTCACTTAGACATTTCAATCCCCACAGCCACACGCCAGTGTGCCAGACTCCAAAGGTAACGTGCCGAGCTCTCGCTTTCCTGGCATGGCAATTGCATGCTCTCTTGTCGCTTGAAGGAATGCCCCCCCCCCGCCCCTTGGGATGGAGGGAGTTCCCCACAGAGCAGCAGCTCAGGGGAGAGCGTGGAGACCGCAGGGGAGCTGAGGGGGTGGGGGGAGCATTAGAAACCGAGAGAGAATCTGAACGTACCTGTGCGTGGACTTTGCCACGGCACCCGCCCCAGGTTGACTTCCCGCACCAGGCAACAGAACGAATGTTGAGCAAGGAGCGGAATGATTCCGATCTCACAGTGTGTGTGTGTGTGAGTGTGTGTGTGTGTGTGAGTGTGAGTGATTGGGTTTCTGCCTGGAACCCGAGACAGCAATATTGCCGCTGACAGCCTGCCAGGGTTTTATATCGAGAAACAGCTCACGAGACATTGCCAAAAAACGATGTGCCCCCGGTGAAATCATTTCCAGTGAAACCCCCCCGTTCCGTTATAGGGTTACACGTGCTTGGAAACAGGGTCTGATCCAGGAATTAAGGGGAGAAGGGAGGAGAGAGAGAGAGACAAAGGCTGGGGGTGGTGGAAGATCTCTAAAACCGTGGGGAGGGGGGAGGATGGATGGAAGCAGCACGGGAAGTGGAAGAGAAAGGGATGCTGGAGCAAAGAGAAAGGAAAGGTTTGCGGCCGAGCAGGACGCCATATCAATATGCCTGAAGCACTGTGTATCTGTCTGTCTCCAGTGCAGCTCCTTGCAGTGGGTATACGCAAGGAGGGGGTTGGGGTTGGGGCTGGTCTCAGACAGTGACCTGCAGTTGAGTGGAAGCAGGCTTTTTCCATCAAACTCTGCCTGGATACCACACACAGAGCCCAAGTGTCAGTTTACTGCCCTGAGCCCGGCTCCTTTTCCCTAAGCTCCACAGTAATTAGACAAAGAAAACCTAAATTAACTGAACAGGCGTCGACAGCTTCCTCCAGCTCACCACTGCTACATACATGGGAAATGTGTCCGAAAATGGCTTGATTGTACCTGAGAATCAGCTAAGAAAACACGACGAAGCTCCACACTATTTACCACACATTTTAATAGGAACCCCCGCCCCCCCCAATCGCTTTGTCAATATGAATTGTTTACCTTTCGTAAGACTTTGGTATAAGTTGTTCCCATACTGTATTTGGAGGCGCAATTTCTGAGCTTGTTGGAATTACCTCCTCAGAGAATAAAAAAATCCTCTTTTTTTTGCATTTAAAATCCTTCCCTGAGCCTGATCAGTGAGAGCAATTCTTTTTCTCCTAAGCTCTGTGACATCTGTTTAAATGTCCAGATCGTTCCACCACCAGAGAACACTGTAAAATCTTCACGCCCATTTCAATACACTCCTATAAGTTCTCTCTATTAAATATAAGGAGGGTAACTTTATGTGAAATAACTCCAACCAGATCATTAGGTTTAAACAATATTACGTCGGAAGGGGGAATTCTCTCAAAGTAACTTTCAGGAGAAATCTCTGCTCGCGGTGTAAAAAAATGCAATTGCATCATCTCTTTATTACAAAGCACCTGAGAAAGAAAGTTCACAAGTAAACCAAAATAGCCCCAATTGGGCAGAGAAGCACCTCTTATTTACATCAGTATTCTGCCGTAATCTCCCGTTTATAGGGGAAAGAGGGTAACAAATTGCGTCAGATTCCTCATACCTGACAGGAATTTACTCTGCCTAGCAGATGATTACTTTAAACAAATCATTAAGAAGCCAGGCGTGCTATTTACAATGAATTCAAATGATCGTCGAGCACTAGCGGCACCGGTGGTGGTCGCTGCTTCTGAGTTTTACTGTCTTCTTTATTTTTAGCCACACAAATCCTGCGTCCGAGACAAGGTACTGAACGTTTCCATGACTTTTTGCTGTTAGTATCAGCTTGAGGTTCCCCCGATTAAACAAAAGTACATATGCTGGTTGGTGAAGATGTTTATTTTGGTTGGTGTATCGATTTCTGTGCTTAACCCAGCTTTGGAGCTCTGCTTTGCCAGAGTATATGGACATTATACTTTTGGCAGATACGGGTTGGTCAGATGGTGTTCTATAATCATCCTTTTTATTCTAGGAAATCTCTTCATTATTGCGGTTTCAGTTTCACGTCCGTGCCCCTCTGCTTCTTGGGATAAATGAAATAGCTTAAACTAAACCAGTTAAGAAAATGGAAGACAAATATGAAAGATAAATGTTTACTGCTATCTCAGAAACTTCCCTTCTTAACTGCAGGCTCTCTCCCCCTCCCTCTCTTCTTGTTCTGAGGTCCGGCATATGAGAAGCATTTTTTCAATTAAATCCGAGACTGAAACTTAAACAAATCCCTTCAGTATTCTAAAAGTACGTTTCCTTAAGCCCTGGAGGATTTTCCCTCCACTGTCAGTTTCAGGGTGTCTGAATTTATCAAGATCTACATAGATCTCGACAGGCTGAGGCTGAGATAGGTAGATACATTTCAGCATTGGGGATATGACTGCATTTTGCGCTAGTTGAAAATGCTGATCAACCAAAACGATCATCCAATAGACTCTCTCGGCAAAACCTAAAGAAAAATCCAAAGAGAAGACAAGTCCCTTCAAAGCAAGGAAGGAGGGGAAGAGCTGGGATGGGGGGGGGGGGGGGAGAGGGGAAGGATTTAGTACCAATCCCAGACTCTGTTGCCCTTTCTTTGTCCTGAGCCCTCAGACCTCTTGGCTTCTATTGGACCTTTGGCACCAGGCCTAGAATCCGACTGTTTATTTGGATGGATTTTCCTTTTTGCAAACGCACATGTCACAGAGAGGACGCTTTTTATAGCCATCTTCCTCAGAACTGCATACTCCCCTATGTCCTTTTTAAATGATTTGATGCCTCTTTTGGCTACGGGGGAACATTCTGACATTTGACAATCTTTGTAACAGATTAACCATCTAACTGCTTTTCTGATAGGGACTGTGTGTCCATAAAGCAATCGGTGCTCTCGTCGGATCAGCCTGTGTCTAAAGAATAGACAAGGAAATACTCTACAAAACTTAAAGGCCTACCTTACTTGCAGTAAAAAAAAAAAAAAAAAAAAAAAGCGCTTTAGGCAACTAACGTTTAAAGGCAGTGTACCTTGAATAGATTGTTTTGAATCCAGCTGAGAACCCTAAATTGCAATAAGAATAGGATGTTTTAAATGACACGATTGCTACAAGAAGAAAAGGAGTACTTGTGGCACCTTAGAGACTTATAGAGACTTAGTCTCTAAGGTGCCACAAGTACTCCTTTTCTTTTTGCGAATACAGACTAACATGGCTGTTACTCTGAAACCTGACGATTGCTACAGTTTTCCAAAGTGTGCTGAATCACGCAAGATTTGGAGAGAAATAAACAGCAGACAGGAGTAAATACATTTTCCATTTTAGGACGGAATGTTTTCCCATGTCTTTTTGGGTTATCGAGGCCGAGCCCTTTGACGTTATTCTCTGCTGCAGGAAAGTTTCCTTGGCCTGAGAAGTTTTAAACTTCTCCCATCAGTGGCGATGTTATGGAATACCGTGGGGTTGAAGACATTAAGAGGAGAGAAAAGGAGTCCCTTGGTTATGTACAAAGGTAGAGAGACACAAAAACTATATGTACAATAGCAAAGTATTCTTAACATGAAATCAGTTGAGGAGAGGGGGAATGGGGAGTAAGAGAAAAGAAACACCCGAAAACAATGTATCAGGGTTCCCCATCATTATGTCTCACTCAAGCAAAACTCCCATCGATTTCAGTTTACCCTTGATTTCCGTGGGATTTTTGCTTGAGGGGGAAGTGCAGGACCTGTGTGCTTGGAATTCTTCAAGTGCAAACTAACGCGCAGGAATGTCCTACAGGGCCAGCTAACACCAGTGCAATGGAAAGTGTGAAAGTTAGTTGCTCGGATCTTGCAGCCTTTTGCTATTTTCTCTTGTAGTCTTTCTGTTTCCCAGGCACCGGTCTATTCAGCGCGCTGAGATGGGTTTTTCAGCTTTCCGGAAAGCCATTCTATAACCTAAGGTTTGTTGCCGCTGTTCACGAGTCTGCCTATATCATGCATTGTTTGAACTGGGTGAGCCTAAAATACCCCTCTCTTCCTCTTCACGGCTTGAGAAAGGAGGGCTCCAGTGAACGCCACGGCTAAAGTCCCTGGAAAGTCTCCTCTTAGAAGGCAGCAATGCGCGTTTTCTAGCTGGTAGATAATCTGTGAAGCAGCAACAGAAAAGGAGGGGGGAGACAGTGGGCTGATGACCCCTTTAGCTCTCCCAGATGTGAGACCGCTGCCGGACACCACCCTCAGACTCTCAGGCAGGCTACAGGCTCGCTGCAGAAAGACTGACGCAGACTTTTGCAAGGAAGCCTCCTGTCCAGCAGCCCGGCTCAGGTATGCGAGGCAGCTAGGGCTAATTGTTTTGCTGATCCAAACTGCTGTGTTGCGAAGGCGCCTTTCGCCACGGTCCTATACTTTTCCCGTTTGCTGTCCGCTGGCGAGCTAAACACTGAAATCCTACAGAAGCCTTCACTTCGTTATTGTGGTAGATCACACTGCACGTGGGCAGAGACTCAGCAGTATCTACTGCCTCAGAATGAGCCTCTGTAGCGTCAATA